TTATTATTGCTACTGATAGTATCTGGATAGATTTAATAAAGATTATTATTATTATTAAATAAATAATCCCGATAATTATACGGGGAATTTAATTATTTTTAAGCTTCTATAACTTCTACTGAAAATTTATTAAAACTTATAGTAGAATAGCATGATTTCTTACATAACTAACCTGAAAAGATATTGTTTTTAACTGGAATTATATCTATATTAAAATCTTTAAAATATTTAAAAAAATATTAATCTTAATCTCTATTTTTGTTTATTATAATCTCATATTTCTTATTTAAATTAAGATAGACGCTACTAATAGTGTTATTATAGAGGTACTCTTATAATTAATAAATAAAACTTAATATCTAGTAATTTATTATTTTAAGACTATATTTCCTACAGAATATAACTATAATATTTATAATAAAGAGCTACTAGTGATTATTCATGCCTTAAAGGAATAGTAATTAGAGTTAGAAGGATTCTAGTATATAGACTATTTTAGTATTTTAATTAATTACTGAGTTTTAGAGTATTTTATGACTATTAAAAGATTAAACACCCGTTAGGTATAATAGGCTAAGTTTTTTTTCTAATACTATTTTTTAATCTAATTCTATCCTGGGAAATATAATGCTTTAATAAATATATTAATTTATAAAAATAGTAATGAGTAAATCTTAATATAATACTATAAGTAAATCCTATTACCTCCAGAGTATTTAAAAAATAAAATATATTTTTTTTAACTATTCTTACCCCCGTACAGGAATACTTATAGGTTATAAATTAACTTTTAGTAGTTAATTAAAACTATCCTTTCTTAGAGTCTTACTAGGAATAAGCCCGTTATAGTGAAAAGGAATACACCCTAAAAAATAGACTTATATTTTTTAATAATTTATTAGTAGTTTTAGATAATAGGGACTTATACACCCGACTACTAAATAAGATTTATTATTAATTATTATTTATATATTTAGATCGAATGAAGATATTAGATCTTATAAAATATCAATACTACTAGGATACCTAGAACTGAAATGTATATTATTACTTAAATAATTATTTAATTTATAAGTAAAAGAATATAAAATAGGATTTTTTTCTAAGATTTCTATAATTCTTACTGATCCTAGACCGCCCGGGATAATATTTATTAATAAATTTTTAAATATTCTTAAAGGACCGCCATAGCTTCGATACTATATTTATTATAATAAACTATCTAAGTAACTTTTATATTTACTATTTAAACCATCCTAGACTATTTATATAACTTCCTATATAGATTACTGTGGTAGAGAATAATAAGTTTACTATAGATTATAAAAATAATAATATTCTCCTGACTGAGGGTAGTCAGGCCTAAATAGGGGGATAATATAATAATAGCTCTGTTTAGAAGCACATGACTATATTTATTTTGTTTATTTTACTATTATTTACTATTATTTTCTTCAAGTGAGTACCTATAATACTTCTTGTTTTCCTTTTTTCCTCCTTATGCTTAAAGTTCTAGAGTAGTTAGCACCAATACGACCTCATTTTGTTGTGTTGAACGGCCATCTCATTAAAAATCTAATAAAATCTTATAGTAATCTATCTTTTTTATAAGAAAATATCTAGTTAAAGTAAAAAATACTTTCTAATTTAAATTAGTCTAGTAATTAACCGTAATTAATATTTATCCCATATCTAGAAACCTTGATAATAAATAGGTGTGTGTTTTTTTTAATAATTTTAAAAAATAATTTTTAATTTATACGTAATAAGGAATACTAAGTTTTTAAAAGAACGCTAAAGTAATAAAATTAATTATTTATTTAAATTAAATATACTTAATAATTTGAAATAGCAGGAGACAGATAATAAGAAAATATAAAACTTAATTAAGGAACTTTCTTTTATTATAAACTATAAAAGTCTAAAAATATTTTTTAATATTAGTGAGGATAGACTTATTATAAGTCTCAAGATTTTAATTAGAGATAAAATCTTAGAATAAATACTGTGGAAAATACAGTAGGTATAGATTTATTTATAAAAATCCTTTAACCAGTATCTATCTAATTATTTACTTAAAGATATTTAAAGATATTTATTTCTTACTGTGACGGCAGCCTCGTTCAGGGCCTTGTTCAGGATCATGTGACCATGTTTATTTTATTTACTTTACTATCATTTTCTTTAAGTGAGTATTTATAATACTTTTTATTTTCCTTTTTCCCCCCTTATGCTTAAAGTTCTAGAGTAGTTAGCACTAATACGACCTCATTTTATTATATTAAACGGCTGTTTTATAATTTTAAGTATTATTTTTTATTCTTTCTCCTACTACTGTACATGGCCAGCTCCTACTAAACTATTAATAATCCTTATCCCGCGTTCTTGGTAATGTTTAACGGCTAAAAAACCTACCCGACTAACTAGCTAAATAAATAAATGAAATGGCTAGAGAAAATACCTAAATATTAGATCCTAAGGATAACTGACAACTTTCTGCGATACTACCTGATGAACTAGACTAAAAAAATAAATTTAATTAAACTAAATTTAATAACTGATACAAGAGAGACCCGAAATAGACTTTTAAAATCTTTCTAAAGATTTTCAATACTTTGGAGGCTGAAAAAGATAATCTTTTAGATTAATAAGATTAGTAGGTCCAGGAGATTGAGTATTTTACTAAAAAATAAGATTATTTTACTATATAAACTCTATAACAGTAAATACATTTAGATTAAAATATCTCTATAAAAGTAAAGAAACTTATAAAGATTCTAGATCTTTCTCTATTCAGTAATAGCGTAGATCTAACTTATAAAAACTGGACTCTTATTATATAATAAAAATTAGAAGCTAATATTAATTAATATAGTATTCCTACTATACGCAAGGCATATATTACTAGCTGATATTAAAGTATTATTAGAAGATATTCTACTCTATACCTTCGTTCTGATACTACTGACCTCTTTTTTAATTTAAATAATATATTTGAATATCTAAAGATTATCTTTATTAATTTTAATAAGATTTGTAACGCCCGTCGCTAGTATTAGAATTTATAAATAAAGATTAGAAATAAGTTTTATACTTTTATCTTAATTTTTTACTATCTTACTATTGAAGCCGGAGTTAATAAAAGTATTTAGAAAAATAATTTCTATAATAAATTTTCTATTAAGTTTCAGGATCTTACCGCGTATAGCTATAATAATAAGGATTTTAAGGAATTCATAAAATAATATACTAACTCTATAAATATGATTGAAGAATAAATCAAAAGATATATTAAAAATAATTTTATAGTAATTAAAAGTTATATAGAGTCTTGTGTATTTTATTTTTCTATTATTATTTTAAATATTATGAGTACTTTTTTAAAATTTCTGATCTAAGCTTTTAATATGGAACCAGAGACTAAGAAGATATTAATAAAAGATAAAAAGTATTTCTATTATAAGAAGTCCAGCCATAGGAATAGAGAATATTTTAAAAAAAAAATTATATAGGTTAAGGCTCTAGAAGCCCCCATGGAAAAATCTAAATTAATAAAAAATAATATTTAGAAAAAGTCTTTATTTTAAACAAGCTAGAAGCTTAAATAATTATAATAGATTTATAAAACTTGTTAAGAAATAATAATAATAATTTTATAATTATTACTTTATTTTCTAAAGATAGTATTGTTATTCCTACTTATACGCTTATTAATTTTAGAACTAATATCTACTTAATAATAAATATTTAGTTTACTATTAAATTAGTCTGATACTTTAAAATCTTAATATTATTTTTAAAGAAGACAACTTCTGTTATAGGCTTTGATGGAAAATAGACTATTAATTTAATATATATAATCTGATTAAATCTTATAGTTAATAACTACTAATTTTTAAATACTTTCTTCCTTATATTGGACCTGGGAAGGCACAATACTATTTTTAAAAAAATATAGTTTATTAAATATAATATCTTGTTAGATTATTAGAATTGTTAATTAATTTAGCTAAGCTAACTAATATTAAAAAATAAGATAAAAGCTGGATTCTTTATAAATATTTTTTAGACTATTCTAGAGTGGTTTTTAATAGATTGTAAGTATTAATAAGATACAGTTTAGAAAAATTATAAAATATAGTTAGAAAATAAATAATTAAAGTCTCTATAATTATTATTAATTTTCTTTTATACTTAATTAAAGCAGCCTGTGTGAGGTCCTGGTAAAGATAAAATATAATTTAATTAAAAAAAGTTATTAATATTATCTTCCTTCTAAAATTTTAAAGCCTGAATTAAAGCCTATCCTAATTAAATTTCTCTATAGAAAGATAATTTTTATTAGAGTGGCCGGCTTCCAATAACATCTAAAGAATTTAAAAATAGAGATTTTTATTATTTTATTTAATATTATTAAAAAATTTTTTATAAAGAAACTAGAGGTTCCACATACAAGTAAAAAGAATAAGATTAAAAGAATCTTTTCTAAATAATACTATAATTTAATAAATATTTTTTTAAAGAAGGAATCTAACATACTACCTCCATTCTAATATTATAATTATAAGATTTAGCTAAAGAATGAGAATCTTTTAAGTATTATTTTTCTTTATAAAATAATAGTAGAAAAGCTGTAGGCCTTCTATAATTATATTATAGAGAATTTAAATAAAAGATTCATTGTATTAAGCTTTATATTTTTTATATTTTTTATTTTAATAGTTTAAAAGCCCGGAGGAGGCCTCCATTTTTATATAAATTATTAAAAACTAAATATTTTAATTAAGAAAGACCTATATTCTTTATTTTTTATTAATAAGATAATGGACCGCTTGCGCAATATAAAAATCTTTATAAAATTTAATATATATTAAAATTTTCACCAGATTAGAATAAACTTTATCTTAGAAGATCTCATAATTTTCAAAATATGATATAACTTATTTAAATATTAAGTTCTTTTATTTAGACTTATTAATAGACCCGCTGCCTTCTAATGGCTTATTAATAAGATTTTAATAGAGTACTTAGATAAGTTTATGATAATTTATATTAATAATATATTAATTTATAGTAATAATACGGCTGAGTATAAGCTATATATATATTTAATATTTAAGAAGTTACGAGCTATAGACTTACAGGCTACTATTTATAAATATAAGTTATATATTATAAAAACTAAGTTTCTAAGATTTATTATTACTACTGATGGTATCTGGATAGATCTAATAAAGATTATTATTATTACTAAATGGATGACCCCGATAATTATATAAGAAATTTAATTATTTTTAAGCTTTTATAACTTTTACTAAAGATTTATTAAAATTTATAATAGAATAATACAGTCTCTGATATGACTGACCTAAAAAGATATTACTTTTAACTAAGATTATACCTGTACTAAAGTTTTTAAGATATTTAAAAAGATATTAGTTTTAATTTTTATTTTAGTTTATTATAATCTTATACTTCCTACTCATATTGAGACGGATGCTATTAATAGAGTTATTATAAAAATACTCTCACAGTTAATAGATAGAATCTGATATTTAATAGCTTATTATTCTAAGATTATATCTCCTGCAGAATATAACTATAATATTTATAATAAAGAGCTACTAGTAATCATTCACACTTTAGAGGAATAGTAATTAAAGCTAGAAAAATTCTAGTATATAGACTATTTTAATATTCTAACTAACTATTAAGTCTTAGAATATTTCATGATTACTAAAAGATTAAATATTTATTAAATATAGTAGGCTAAGTTTCTCTTTTAATATTACTTTTTAATCTGATTCTGTCCCGGAAAATATAATACTTTAGTAAATATATTAATCTATAAGGATAATAGTAAGTAAGTCCTAATATAATACTATAAGTAAATCTTATTATCTCTAGAGTATTTAAAGAATAGAGTATATCTCTACTTATTAATTTCTAAATTATTAATAGTTCTTATTTTTATACAGGAACACTTACAGATTATAGATTAATTTTTAGTAGTTAACTAAAACTACTTCTTCCTAAAATCTTACTGGGAAAGAACCCGTTATAGTGAAGAGAAATATACTCTAGAAAATAAACTTTTATTTTTTAATAATTTATTAGTAGTTCTACATAATGGAGACTTATATATCTAATTATTAGATAAAATTTATTATTAATTATTATTTATTTATCTAGGCTGAACAAAGATACTGGGTCTTATAAAATATTAATACTATTAAAATACTTAGAACCAAGACATATATTATTATCTAGATAATTATCTAATCTGTAAATAGAAAAATATAAAATAAAATTTTTTTTTAAGATTTTTATAACCTCTACTAATCCTGGACTGTTTAGGATAATATTTATTAATAAATTTTCAGATATTTTTAAAAGACTATTATAGTTTTAATACTATATTTATTATAGTAGACTAATTAAGTAAGTAAATTATTTTAATATTATATATAAAGACTGTATTTATACAAGATATGGTCTAGTTTTTTTTAAAATATGTATATCTTTAATCAGGATTTCTAAATATAATTATATTAGATTAAGAAAGATAGTTTATATTAAAATTCTAAAATAAATTATATTATATACTGCAAATAAAATTTAAATTTTTAATAGTATACTATCTTTAAACTGATAAGTAGACTAAAATTATAAATTAGTATATAGTATAAAGACTTATTCCTTTTATAAATTATTATTAACATAATTAATCAGAATTTTTGTTATTAATTAATTTTATTTTTATAATCCTGTCCCAGGAGTCTACGGGATTATTATCTTTTATAATTAAATAAAGATATAAGTCCTGTATTTTCTTTAATTAGATATTTTTTTAGATTCTTATTATAAATATTATTAATTAATAGTAAGCCCGAGCCCTAGCCTACTGTATAAAATAGATATAGAAATTAGTAAAGAAAAGTATATAGACTACTTAATAAGTTTAAACTTATATAATTAATTAACAGCGTTAACCCGTGGATTTTAATATTAGAAATGAGGTTTATATAGATATTAGAAACTGGTACTAAGAATAACTATTCTAAAAACTATTAAAAAATTAGTACAGTCCAGTAACTATTATTAAAAAAATTAGTTATATATTTTAAATTTAATTACTTAATAGTATAAAGGTCTATCCTATCTTTTATTCTAATAAATTTTGCTTTCGCGGTACTCTGGAGCTACTGTTTAGATAGATTTTAGATTAAATTTCTTTAATTAAGATTAATGATTATACCGAGTAAGAAGTAGAACAAATCTTAGAAAGTTATTTATAGATAGAAACTCTGTAATATTGTGTTAAATGGATAAGTTTTAATAAAAATAATTATGAGTAGTATCCCACTAATAATTTTAAGAATATATCTTTTTATTTACGTAACTTTTATATCTATTATCCGGACTATTTTAGACTATTTAAATAACTTCCCATATAGATCACGGCCGCGGAGAACGATGAATTTACTATAGATTATAATGATGATAATATTCTCCTAACTAAGGATAGTTAAGTCTAAATAGAGGAATAATATGATGGTAGTCTTATTTAAAGTCTTATTTAAGATTATATAACTATATTTATTTTATTTACTTTACTATTATTTTTTTTAAGTAAGTATTTATAATATTTCTTGTTTTCCTTTTTCCCCCCTTACGCTTAAAGTTCTAGAGTAGTTAGCACCAATATGACCTCATTTTGTTACGTTGAACGGCTGTCTCACTTACAATCTTTATAAAAATAATAACTTATAGAACTAGTTTCTGAGTTGTCAATTTCTGGATATTATAAAATATATAAATATATAGTATAATAGACATAAGAAGTTCCATCTAAAAATAATATATATTCTTAAAAGTTAATCTATATTGTTGCTATTTTTTTCTAATTAAAGTAAAATAATAATTTTTAAACTTAAATATAAGTTTAATTAAAAAAGATTACTTGCTACTATTCATGGAAGATAAGAATCTTTTTTTAAAAAATTAAATATAAAATAATTTTCTGATATTTTATAACATACTTAAAATTGAGATTTAAAAAAAAAAGAAAAAATGTGGATTGAGAAACTAATCTCTATTTATAAATTATTCTAATTTATAAAGATTTAGGATATAGAGAAAGAAGGTTTAATAATATTTTTTAAAAATAAATTAGATCATTGTATTTAATTTATAGTATTAAGTTTACTTATATAAGTAATATAGAGAGGAAAAAGATAAAAATAAAATTTTATAAAAGTGGTGTTATTTTCTTTCAAGATATATTTTTAAAAAAATCTAATCTATTATATTTTTATATATAGCTGAAAGCGCCTGCTGAATCTTATCTATAAATAAGATTTTATAGTAAATATTTAGTAAGTAGAATATTCCCTATAAAATAAGTAACTAGAGTTTATAAAATAAGATAAATATAAATTTTATAATAAATACTTAGTTTTTAAAAATATAGAAAAATTTTATAGAAACTTTCTACAAACCTTATCCATATCTTATATACTATCATAGTATGGAGTAGTTTTAATATTCTATAATTCCTAAAAAATATAGATTTTTAAATAGATTAAGTAAATAAAGTAGCACGGGTAGTCGTAACCTTATAATATAAATAAATTAAAGTATTTTTAATGTAGAACAAATATTTAAAAAATAATTTAAATATTTAAAAAAAATAAATGAACTATTATTAATATAGAAAATTATTTCTATAAGAGATTTATAGATTTTAATCTATTATTATTACAATATAGACACTCTATAAAAAATATATAATTAAAATAAAATTATAAATATATATCTTTACCAACGTTTCTTTTTATAAGACTAACTTATATCTAAAAAACCAATTCTTACTAACACAAGTGATAATCTTAGATTAATTCTATAAAAATAAAATAAAAATAATCTTTCTCTTTTATCTAGTCAACTTTAAAAGTCAAGAATATTTACTTTAATATATTTATAGACAACGGCATAAATAGCTAGGATAAATAAAGATTAACCTAAGTATACTTTAATTATATTATAACTGAAATAGATATAGCAAGTAGGTCTTAGCACTAAAGATAATTAAAATAGTTAATCATCTTTTTTTAAGCTATACCGCGGCTAAGTATAAAAATTTCCTTAATCTGACCGTTAACCTGACAGAAGATATAAATTTTCCTATTAACCTGACCTGACCTGGCCGATTGCCACTCTAGATATACTTAGATTAATCCCCGTCTACTCTGGCTATTTATACTATCGTTTATAAATACATTAAAGTAAGTATTCTTAATCTTAAAAATTAACTAAATAAAAGAAAAAGATTATTTTTATCTTATTTTTATGGAATTAATCCAAGATTATCACTTATATTAATAAGAATTGGTTTTTTAAATATAAGCTAATTGTCACAGTGCAACCTCCCCAGCTGGAAAGAGAGAAGTACTGCCAAGCCTTACCTCCCAATACATGACCCCAGACATGGTTAAAAGCCACCTATCTGAGATGGCCGTTCAACACAACAAAATGAGGTCGTATTGGTGCTAACTACTCTAGAACTTTAAGCGTAAGGAGAAAAAAAGGAAAACAAGAAATATTATAAGCGCTTGCTTAAAGAAAATAATAATAAAATAAATAAAATAAATATAGTTATATAATTCTAAATAAGACTTTGAATGAGGCTACTATTATATTACCTCTCTATTTAGATCTAATTACTCTTAGTCAGGGATATATTGTTATTATTATAATCTATAGTAAATTTATTATTTTCCGCGGCTATAATCTATATAAAAAGTTATTTAAGTAGTTTAAAATAGTCCAGATAATAAGCATGAAAATTATATAAATAAAAAAGTATATTTTTAAAATTATTAACAGGATACTACTTATAGTTATTTTTATTAAAATCTATTTATTTAACGCGGTACTGCAGAGTTCCTGTCTATAAATAATTTTTTAAAATTTATTTTATTTTCTACTTAGTATAGTTATTAACTTTAATTAAAGAAGTTTAGTCTAAGATCTGTCTAGACAGCGGCTTTAAAGTACTGTAAAGATAAAGTTTATTAAAATAAAAAATAGAATAGATTTTTATACTATTGGATAATTAAATTTGGAATATATAATTAATTTTTTTAATAATAGTTACTAAATTATATTAATTTTTTAATAGCTTTTAGAATAGTTACTCCTAATACTAGTTTCTAATATTTATATAAATCTTATTTCTAATATTAAAATTTATAGATTAATATTGTTAGTTAGCTGC